CCGGGATGCAAAAATATTTGCGAGTTGTTGCGGAGAGGAGGCTTTTTTCACGCGCGTCTAGTTGGACCGCTCCTTTTTTTCCCTATCCATCCTCCCTTCCAGCCGCAAAGCTGTCTCTCGTTTTCTACCATTAAGATTCGTTCTCATTTATTTTCTCTTTTCTACCTTCCTGCTGGTGCTATAGCGATCTTTCGTACACACCCAAATATACACATATGCAACGTGTAACGTTTCTAAGCGAGACGCGATGAAGAATAACAAAAAGGCTCAACTATAAATCCAATGCATACGTTTGTTGATAAAAATTGTATATCGCTACCATCGTGAAAATGACGGACTTGAAATTAAATCGTGTATTTTTAGTCATTTGTATTTTTCCTTCGCAAAAATGTAAACTTTACAAAATGGGATACGTGCAACCCGGGGCTTGAATACACATTTACTCGTGCTTGCTCGAGCGATTATTTCACGGTCGAGGTCTACGTTCATATGTAACTCTACGCGCTAATTTTAACCTGACCTTCTCGCGGATGCTGCAATCCGACAAGGTTAACGGCAAAAAAATATCCATTTATATAATCGACTTTTATATTATATATCTCGCCATCTCCGTCGTTCGCCTATTAACAATTTATCGACGTCCAATTATTCGCAGCGCTTCTCGGCGTCTATTTCCGTGGGATATCGATATTGGATACTCTTGATATAAATTTTCTGGGTCAACTGACAGGGTGAACTTAAAGGATCGCGGGCGTGATCGTTTCACGACGATATCGCGCGGGGGAGTGAATTTTATCCGACGCGCTAAAATATTAGGAACCGGGAGGATGACATTTTAATGTAATTAACACCGCGTAGATTCGAAGCGTGTCTAATTCGCAGGCGCGCATCAGCCTCGTCGAGCCATATGAAACTCTCATCTTCGTGACCAAGAAGCTACACGCCACATGCATCGCGTTTTTAATTGTCCGCTTTACTTTGTCCCTCTCGCGCTCCACGTCACGTTCGAGCGTAATCACTCTAATTTCATTATCGCGTGCGATGCGGTAGGGTTGCATTACGTAAACTACTACATAAATATGTATATACGCTCGCGTCCCTGCATGAATATACCGCGATAAACGCGCAAAGAACAACGAGCAGCGCTTTTTCTGCAGCGCTTCTACCCGTTTCCAACGCGCGATACTTTGATGTCGGTTCGCAGACGAAGCGTTTGGAAATATTTCGCATTATCTTCCATATCGCGATACGTTTTAATTTCCGCGGGACATCTAGACGATTATGACGGACACTCGCAGTCCGTCAAAATATTTCCGGTTTGTTTATTTAGTCGCAAAAATACGCCGAAAAAGCAAGGAATCTTTTTAATATTTGTGACCGAGAAAATGGCGGGAAATTACAAACGAGTAGCGCGCGAAATGACAGTCGGCCGATTCTCGTCTTGGGAGAATTGCAAGAGACGAGTGCGATTGATATCATCGCGTGGCTTAAGGACATTGAACATCGCGCCGGAAATAAATGACTGTACACGTCGAATTACACCGGAGGATTACAATCGTGGCGCATCGCGTCGCATCGCGACGACCCAATTTCGATACGCGAACGTCAAAGTAACGTACGGTGCATTTCGAATGCATTCGCGCGCGACGCAACGGTTCATAATATATTCCCTCGGCGGGATTTCTCCTCGTAGAGCCTGATCCTCATCGCCTGATTCTCATCGTCATTAGACGTCACGTATACGCATAATGCAATGATCTCGACCGATCGATATCACACGTTGCGTTTATCACTGCTGAAAATTACGTGGTTGTCTCGCCTGCATACACAATCAATTGCATCGCAATAGGGGGACAAGCTTGAATAGAGCTTGCGGTTCGTTCTGGTCAACGCGTTCGTTAGCGATCACAGTTTAATTATAATCACACATTGAGAAAAATCGTTTGATTTTATCAACGAGATGTATACGATTGAAGGCGTTTTGGTTAAATCAAACGAGAATTTCTAGTTATCATAACAAGACTCGATTTTTTATAACTAGAACGTTTCATAGATTTTACTATAAGGATTTGGTTAGTATTTTCTGCTTGGATCTATGAAATTTCTTGTTGCATTAATTTCTTTGCTTGCCGCTAGGCGACGAGCCAAGTCTTAACTTAACTCGTATTCAATATTGAAACGTATATAAAGAATTAGTATTAACATTAAATCCAAAGTATATTTTTTTTCTTTTACGAGCAGTAGTGCCAGAAAGAGATTAGATGGAAAAAATTTTAGACGACTTGGCGAGTTTAGTATTATTAACCAGAAAATTTGGCAAATTTAACAGGAAGAAATGAATCAGATTCATCTGGTAATTCCTACAAGAATTCTGGTTCGTCCATTTTCCAGCAGACGTACTGGTTGAATCTAGCAGAATTCTAATTAATGCAAGCAGATTTTTTTCTCAGTGCACTATTATCATGTGTTGGGATGTTTCTGATGCATTTTTTTAAACTTGTATTGTTAAGAGCAAAGAGCATGATTTTGTTGTAAACAAATTTATCGTTTACGTGGATATTATTATGCGTCTCGTGTAACACTCGCATTCTATAACGTCGTTTACGGGGGATTATGCGGGATTATTACGATCGTTAAAAGAATATTAAAAAAAAAAATCAATAACGCCTTTTATATGCGACTTTCAACACCAAGACTCAGACTTTGGGGCAAACTTGGGAAGGAAAATGGCGGTGTGGCGCGATTGCAGAGATGAAAACAACTCCATTAGAGCGCATAGCGGTTTAGTATATTGGTTTTTAATTACATCGTGAACTTTGGCGCGATATTTCTCTTCCTCTTTCTACCGCGAGAGCGGCAATTCTGGGCCAATTAAGGGCAGTCATTAAAACCGCGTGTAATCGCGGATTTCGAACGGGATGCGGATCACGCAATACGGGGAGTGCATCTAGAATTTCATTCGAACGCTATTTCGCTCGCTATTCCGGGTAAATGACATTAATCATTCCGACGTTAATACGTCCCATCGATGCGATGCATCGCGCGTTCTGTTACAGTCAATTATCTTAGCGTCGTCTAAACGCGATTAGGACTATAATGCCGAGTAAGGAGATCAGCGGGTGGCTGATGTTTGATGGAGCGGGATTGGAAACGAACGACAAACAGAACCGGTCAATCGAATCTGCGGTTTCGGCAAACCGTGATCCATTTCCATCATCGCTTTTAGCTTTCGAGGCTTGGCAAAACGAATCGGCAATTTTCAAATCGATCACGCGCAATCGTCGGATTCGCCATTTCTGCAATAAGTGCGAAAACAAAGATTTGACGTCATTCGGAAATTTAAAAATCGATAACCTCGATGCAATTTATACAAATTATAATAATATTCATTTTAATCGTAATTTCTCGATTAATTGGAGAGTTGACAAGATTTTCTTACAGAAATGCGCTACATTATTCCAAGAAAAAAAAAAAAGTATAAAAAGTGGGGAATTTGTAATACACGAAAAGTTTTCCACAAGTTGAGGCCAATAACGAGGCAATAGATATCGAGCTCGATATCGAATACCGTACTTGGCACGATATCAGATGAACGCTCATTATATTCGATGGCGATTGGGATGGGAAGGTTTCCCGTATTGACGTTTCAATTATCAATGTTCGAAAAGGAAAATTCTTGAATCGCGCGTCGAACACTCGGCGCCGAATCATCGATTTATAATAATTCGTACAATTTTGAGGGACCAACGGTATATAAATCACGGGAAATCGACGATAAAAAGGTCCAAGTTTTAATATCGACGTTCCGACATTGTGCGCGGAATGGAAATGGCATTCGATCAACGACCGTCGACGACGAATCTCTGTTGTGTCGCACACGTGCGCATCCCGTTCATCCATCTCGTTCACGTGCGTGTACCTCGTCACGTGCTACGCACCGCTCGTGTCGCTTCTCTCAGGAATAAAACCGTCCGGGATGCGATAAATCGATCTCTCGCGCTAACCGAGGCGACTTTCCAAACGAATAACCCCACGTCATGTCACGCGACTGCATCGCGTTTTCCGACCTGCAGCTTGGTTAATAAAAAGCGATGGCGCGCGTTACGCGCTTGGTGCATATCCGACTACCTGTGCGGCTGAAGGGCATCCTTGCGTGGTGCGTTGACCTCTTCTTCCCTGAAACGATAGGGAAAGATCGTCGTTCGATCGTTTTGTGTGTCGAAACACAAAACGACGTAAGAATTATATAAAAGCGACATGTCGTGTAATTATATTAATTTTTGATATAAATAGTGATAAAGATCTCCCTTTTAGAAAGAATTTTATCGTAATAAAGAAAAGGTCATGCATAATATAATATGCGCCATATATAAGAGTTCGGCATAAATATATATTTCCCTCTTAAAATAAAGATTTTATCGTGAAATTTAACCGGGGTGATTCGTGAATATACGTCGACCATTTTTCTAAAGGGAAAACGCGCGCATTTTATTCAGAATTACATTATTCCAATAGCGGTCAGTACTAGGGAGAATGTCAGTTCTCCTGCGGAAGCTCGTCGAATGAAACTTTCATATTAGAACATTTTTTTTCTTTTTTTTTTTTTTTTGACGAGGCGATATCGGTCTCTCCGCCAGCATGGTCAATAAATTTTCAATACTCTCGTACCGAAAAAACGCCGATGGATAGCTTGGTCGTCGGAATTGTTTTAGAGTCGAGGTCGAGATTCGTCTGCAAGTCGCGGAAGCGGAAAGTGATGATCGAAAAGATTATTGAAGAGATTATTTTTCGATGGCGGAAAAATCTAGGAGAAAATGTAACGAAAAATATCATGAAAAAAAGAAGAAAATATTTACAATAAAATCATATCAGGTTTGACGAGAGTTTGTCTGACAGATATAATAAAATATAAACAATACACAACAGCGTTGCAGTAGATGTTTAAAATATTTGTGAATATTTTCATTGCAAATATTTCAACGATTTTTTTTTTGTTACAGGCTCGACCAGCCGGTGACCAGCTCAACGCCTGGAATGGACAACAAAAAGGTTAAACATGCTTTATATATCAGATATTTATCGACGTTCTTAACGTGTTAAATTAATTTTTTCGATATCCCGCATACGATTCCCGAAATAATTTTTTCTCGAGATGTATATCGCGATGGAATTTAATCTTGCAAAGAGGTCGTCTAGTTAAAAAATTAGCAACGTCGGGACGTGGGAAATTGCACGATACAGCTCAGATCGTCATAAATAACGGTCAATCGATTATTACCTACTGTTTGGAACCGCAATGTTTAGCGAGTCGCATGCGGTTTGCGAGCTTTTGTGAACGAGAATGCGGAGGTTTGCGCGAAACCATGCCCTCCCAATTAGAGGCATCGCTCAAATTAGCGACGATTATCTCTCTAGGATTAATGGCGAGCGATCGAATCGACGATACGATTCAATCGGAACGCGCCATATGGAGGGCAGAGAGAACTGAAAGAACGAAAGTTCGCTGCAAAAGTTTGGTCGCTTTACCCGTTCGCGAAATCAAGTTTTCCTTAGGGTCGGCAAATTTTGCTCTCGTCTTTTTGATTCCATCGAACCACATATTCACCTCGTCGTCGAGTAATTTAACGGATTATTCGGGCGATTCTTCTTTTCTGTCCGGCTTTTTCGGCTGGGCTAACGAAAACTGGCGCTAGGAAATTTCGCCGATAAGATAAATGATCTTTCGCGAAATCTGCATAATGTTCTGCGGGAAACCGCAAGACTTTGAAGGAAAAATCGATCGTATTTGAATCGATTTTGCCTCAATATGCTGTTGTTGCGTATCCCGCGGGGACGCGCAAACATCTTTGATATAATTCTATTCTATTTATATTGGGATTTATGGAGGCACTTTGTATAGTATTTCGCGTGTTGTATTATATGCGCGTTGTAGCTTGCGAGTTTCTCAAAGACATTCGCGGCGCTTTGTATTCCTGAAAAATACAGGTCGTGTTATCGGCATTTCGGAGAGCGTCAGAAAACTACGAGCGCCCGGAACGTTTTCCGGAATCTTTCTTTATGTCTTTAGATAAAATGTACGATCTCATGTTGACGAAAGCTTTTCCAGGAAGTAAAACCTGCCAGGCATCGTGTCTGAAGGCACAATAGTATCCGAGTAAGAAGAGAACTCGTATATATGACGTTCATAGAATAGAGATTGTCAACATCGGTTCTCTCGATAAATGCGTTTATGTCGTTGTGAAACTTGTTGTCACCCATCATTCGGGGACTTTGATGACGTACGAGAAAAAAATAATATTGATGAAAATTTAATATCGCCGACGTCTTATTTACTTGCTTAACCTTTATAGACTACTTCTCCGAGTGATATTAATGCACGTTTTCTATTTCATACAGAGAATACGCGAGAATACAATGTCATTGATATTTATAAATAAAACTTCCTTGTCGTGTGTGTAAACGACGTTTTGTCGCTGACCGCTTTGGGGTCGAAATATCACGAAAAATTCCGGAAGAAGAAGAAAACCAATCGAGGCCAAGCAAGATAGAGCGAGCGTAAATTATTCATTTTTACGTTAGGAATGGAATTTTTCAAGTGTTCCCGCGAACCTCGTCAATGTTTTGTAGCGGGATCGGTTTTTGCGCTTGTATTTTTAAATCAAATGAAGGGGAGAGAGAGAGAGAGACAAGGAGAAATCGATAACGAACTGCATAATGCACCGTATCTATTTTCAGGATTAAATCCGACCGAACTTTGCAGAAGCACGCGCGGTCTTCTCATTGAAAATGCATGCTATCCCGCCTCCGCGATACACGTTTATCAAGTAATTAGTTATTTAGTAACGTTTTTGCTCATGAAATGTCAGCTCGCGTTTTTCCCATGCGCGGAGAAAATCAAAGCGGAAAATCGAACGGATTGCACGAATTTCACGTTGAAATAGCGGTAGTCTTCTTTCTTCGTTCCTGTTTCCGTGGCTTTTCATTATCGAATAGACGTTTTGAGTGGCACGGCGAAATTTTCGTCGACTAACAAGAGTTTTCACGATAACGTGCCACGATGCGTTGCCAAGCGGAAAAGTGGATTTCGATCAGCCGCATTCAGGAAGGCATCGAATAAAAGATAGCGAGAGATCTCGGTCATGTGTGTCAGCGACGAGACGCGATTTCAAATTTTACCAAGGATTTATAACCTCTGTGTCCTTTTCTCAGGAAAATCGTATTACATTTATCTCGCTTGAAATATATTTAAAGCTGTTTGATACCTCAATGTCATACACCGTGACAGATGTCTGTCTTGTAAATCACAATTGTTTCCTACATATCGCTCCTTATACATTTGGGAGAAGGCTGATAATAAATATTCAGCCATATTCTTATACGTCACATCAATCGGATGGATGTTTCTTAAATTATATTCTATATCTATGTCTTGTATATATTATTAAAGAATAGAAATAGTTTGCAAATCCTGGGTTCAATTTTTCCTTAGTGAAATTTTGAATATCGTGTTCAATCATGATTCCTTTTTTATCCAAAGATTAAATATATAAGGAATATGATATAAAAGAAATTACAAAATAATTTTTTTAAATCAATTAATTAAAGAACAACAAACCATTAATCTTGAGCGATTTTTTCTCACTTTTCAAGATTGAATTTTATACATTCGATTAAATCGAAATCAAACCTCACCGTTAGATTTATAATAATTGATCAGTTGATGAAGAGGCATTTTTATTTTGCAGATTGTCCAATCGGCTGCACCGCCCGCAGTACCTGTCCAGGTACGTAGCAAGCACGATGGCTCGGGTGTGGCAGCTTCCGTATCGGGGGTGCGGAGACGGAGCGGTCCTCAAGGGGGACTGCGTTCGCCCGCTGCAAAGAGGCCCCTCTCCGCCCCCGTTGCACTTCAGGGATGGCTGCATAAGCAGGGTTCGGAGGGTCTCATGCTGTGGAAGAAACGTTGGTTCGTTCTCTCCGAGTACTGTCTCTTTTATTACAAAGGTAATTATGCGCTATCGACACCTGTTTGCTTTTTTCAATTGTAGCTTTTATCTTTGTCGCTTCCTTTTTCCATTATTTTTATGATAAATGTAACGCCATCGCGTGACAATTTTAGAATTATTATTAATTTTATCAAGTATTATTATTTGAAATAGCTTGTTTAATATTCAAATCCGGCAAATGTATGATGCTTATTTATTTTATAATTAACAATCGGCATTATAATAACCGGTATAATAATTACTTTGGAAATATCTATTAACAACCAATTTAACGGAAATTAAATTTAGTTATCGTTAATAATAAGCTCTTATGAAGCATATTGCGTAAATCGAATAAGTTTTTAAGAGTTATTTTGCACTAAATTGATATTACAATCCCTAGTAATATTTAGCTACTCGCAATTAAATTCAATAATTTTCAATTTTTACAATCTTGCGACAAAAATGATGGTTTCATTTTTAAAATAATTTGTGAGTTTTCAGTATGAATATTGAATGGTAAAATTTATATTGAAATTAACACAAAATTTATAGACATTAATATTGAATTCGTATCGAGAGAGATTTGTATCTGCTCTATTAGCTTACGAGCTTTTATTTTGATGCATTTATTAATTTCAAAGGCATTCAGGCAAGTTCCGTCTTGCTAGTTTAGAACAAGACATTTTATACAGACGACGAATTTCCAGTCGTCTGGGATGCCATTACTCTTCTAATTCGACTCGGAGCACTAATTATACCCGGCCCCTTTGATTCACTAGATACTCGAGCATCACAGTCGTTGCAGCGAAGAGATGTGCGAAATGTTCTCTGTTAAGGATACACTACATGCGCGGTCTGCCACTTTAGTTTGTCTTGTACGTTATCCGACAAGAAGGAAGTTGGGTTCTCGCTGCTACAAGTTCGACGCGGCGGTTCGACGCGTCATTTACACTGATGAACTTTAGTTAAATTAGATTCGATAGATATCGCCCCTAATTAGCGGCTTGCTGAGCCTCTTGGAGTATCTTTATGTCGGTCGCAAAAGCACTCGAACACTCTAATACTCGGCAACAAACTTCTTCGATCCGATTGCTCCGTAAATATCGTAGAAAGTTTGTTTAACGGTTGTTCGAAAGATTGATCGATCTTCTGTCTTGAAAGAGATGTGTATATTTCGTTTATAATATATACTTGTTAATCTCTTTCTCTCTCGGTAAAGTAAAGTAAAGTAAAGTAAAATGAAGTATTTCGCGAAGAAATGCAGGCTTTTTCCTCGAAATAGACTTTTTCAATTTTTACATCTTTGATTGAAATTGAAATTATTCAAAGTTATAGCTATCAAAAAGATTGTACTAGACTTAAATGCGCACATAACAAATAAATTTCATATCTTGCCATCAAAATGCGATAAAGAAGTATTTATATGGATTAAATAATTGAGATTCCGTTCTCTAATTAGTAAAACATTTGTTTATTGCAACTGTAGCATTACTCTAGCGTTTATAGACTAGAACGCATGGAATTCGTTTAGACCGAAATTCCAGCTTATCCAAAACGCAACGTGAAAGAGAATTCAATTCACCTGTCGAGATTTCGCGGTTATATACAAGCTTTGTATATATTCAAAGTTCCGTATTTCGTATTTGGCAACATTTCTTGTTTTTCTCTTTAATCAATACTACTGTGCGTGTGTGTGTACGTGTGTGTGTGTGCAAGCCATAAGAAATTTATGTAAATGTTGATATTATGCTATATATTTAAAACTATATAGAAATAATCTCCCGTGCACATCGTACATTATAGTCGTATAAAACCACTGGAGAAAAAATATTGTAAGAATGGAAAACCGAATGTCGTGGAAAATATTTTTACTTGACCGATTATTTGAACGCAACATTAGATGCGACATCCACATAATTTTATTCGCTGTGAAGGATGGATAGAGATATGCATATATATATGTTGTACAATTATATAATTATGTTAATTTTATCACTCTCAAAATAATATAATTTTCAACATAAAGTCATCGCGTTGTAACTTGTAATGTAATGTAGCAATTTATTAATTTGCAGGCCCGGAAGAGGAGAAACTACTAGGTTCGATATTACTTCCTTCGTACAGAGTTACCGTCTGCAAACCCGAGGACAAAGTCAACAAGAAGTTCGCCTTCAAGGCCGAACATGCCAACATGAGGACTTACCACTTTGCAGCTGACAATCGCGAAAGCATGAATCAATGGGTGAACGCGCTGACTCTGGCGACGCTTCTGCAAGATCCTAATCCGTAAGTTGTATATATTTATTTTTAAATGGTATACAAATTTTCGTGAAACATTGCACGTGTGTTACAAGCTTACGAATCGTCATAAATTATTAGCAATCAGAAATTAATTCTTTAATTTTAATTTTTAAAAAAATGTCAATCCAAATCGAAAAACGTACATTTTCCGATATTTAATAATTATGATTTGTAAAGAGCAAAAAATATTTGCACGCTTTTATCATCACGCCAGCTGAATAAATAAGCGAATCTGAAAGATGTAGTGGTTGAATCGATGCAGAACTGATCATTTTTTATTGTAATTCTCGTTATTACATACGGACGCTTTAATCCTTTATACTTATCGTCTGCTTTGTGAAAATGTTCTCTGGTTTTATATTCTCTTGCTCGTAATTCTCTCGCGTTTTATGATATCGCATGATATTTTGAAATTACAGAAGGATCGTTCAATTTTATCTCTAGTTCTTCATATTTGATTTTCTCGCATGCAGCACTTTTCCAAAATTCACCGTGTTTGAATTTTATGAAAATTTCACAGAAATGTTTTTCTTTATACCGAAAATGTCTGTCGCAAATTCGCGAGATCTTATTGTTTACTTTTATTTTACGGAAGAATGAAATATCTCTTCAACAATATTGTTCTCATTCTGACTACTCTTCTCAAAGATGTCGTCTTTTAAGACGACATTGTGATATTAAATGTTGTTCAAAGTACACTCGGTGATCCGAGCAGGAGTCTTGAAAGTTATTTCGATACTGCAACTGAATGACGATGAACGTCTCTTTGACATTCCACAAAGGAAATTGGGACATCACAGTCGGAGTGGTTTATTTGCGCGCAAAAGTATCGCGAGGATGCGGCGCATCTGTCGTGTTCGCACGTTATCACGGTGTAACTAACCAATCTCGTTAGTTAGTTTCCCGAGAGTTATTCGGCTCGCGAAATAGCGACGCTGGATGAGGCCCCAACTAGCCTATTGTTCATTTAGCGCATTGTCAGCGACACGTCGATGCGGACAATGAACGTTCGTTTCGAACACCAGTGAGCTTGGTCATCGTCTATTATTTGCCCATCTACCTTTCTACCTAAAAATCGATTCAGATGACCGAAAATGTAGATTTCTAGCGTATTCATTTCTGCAGCTCTGCGAATGGAACAATGGCGAGAATTCATTTTTCTGCTTTTAGTAAAATGGAAAGGCTTCTCGAGCTCTGGTCATGAGGTAAATTTTACTTTGAACGCAAAATCGAATAATGATAGGAGGATAAAAGAATTAATCCTTTTCATTTATACATATGTATTCGATGATATATTTAGCAAAGATAATTTTAATAATGTATGCAATTGACATTCGTTATATCTGGTAATTTAACTATATTAAATTCAATTATTTGGTAGTCTGATGATTGATCGCTAAACAAACATCTAAAGTTGGACGTGCGAAAAATTGTAGATACCGATTGATATATTATATATAATTTTTCTTTTCTTCTCAAGTGGCGCGGGCGAAGCTGCAGTGGTCATCGAGATAGCGCAGGATGGCGAACGAAGCGCCCGGCCTAGCGTCTCGTCGATCTCGTCGATCCTGAATCAAAGCGCCGACGATAGCGATTCTGGCTTCCACGGCTTTCAATCGCGCGACGATCCCAGCCACGCCTCGAACAACAACTCCAGCCCGAACAGCGCGAACACTGCCTCCTTCCCGAATCTCAGCAGTAGCAACAGCAACGGCAATTCCGCCAACAATCATACGAGCGACTCGGGCCACCCGATGATGAACGGTTGGGTGCCACAGCCAATCTCGCAATACGGCCAGCCCAGCACTTCTCAGTCGCAACAACAGCAGCAGCAATACGGGCACTTGCAGCAAATGCAACCGGGTCACTCGCACCAGCATCAAGCGTTGTTGCATCAACATCTATCGCACCCGAATGCGCTTCCGACTCATCAGTCGTCACATCCGCACAAGCATATGGTCCAACAATCACCGCAGCAACAGCCGTCATCTCAACAGCTGTCGCATTCCATCGCGAGCAATGTTCAGACTGTGCAGCCCATGTCCAGAAAATTCGGACAGCCCATTTACGCGAACGCGCCGCCAAAACCGAGAAGATTGACAGACGGTTCCAACGAATACTCGACGCCGTCGCCGGATCCGGATTATCGGCAAAGCCCGGTCTCGCCGGACGTTACAGTGACTAGTAAAAGCCCAATGTCCGACTATGAGAGAAACAATACGATTTATGGCACGCGGATGAATCAGCCGCCGCAGCATCAGAGTCTGCGGACCGACAAGTCGGGTCTGAATTACGGCTATGGTCAGATCGCGCAACCGACAGAGAGGAGAACCCCAGACACGTACGGTCGTAGCGCAAAACCGAGGACCAGCAACAGAGATAATGGCGATTACGAGGAGCTCTACGGAACTCCGCCGCTTTATCAAAGACCCGCGGGTCCGGTGGGTTATACGAAGGGCGCCTCCCCGGCGCCAATTCCCATCCCTGTTTACGCGCAGCAGCAACATCTTCAACAACTACTACATTCCCCCGTCACGCCGACGCACAGTGAGTCTCTTTGTCTTTTACCTTCTTCTCGCGGCGATACTCGCAAAGACCCTTGTATAATTAGTGCCGCAACCAGGCAAAGGTGAAAATATTTTGCGCGGATGTATGTTTGAAAGACGACGTCTTTCTTCTCTCTATGTTACAAAGCAAGCTTTCTTATCGGACCGTTAAGATACACGTCCCGGGAATTCTATTCCGGCGAGCAATCTCGTCTTCTCTATACATTTCGTTACATTGTTGTGCGACGAGAATTTGAGTCTTATATTACAAAAATAATAATAGTAGCTTTGATAATTTTACCGTGCCGCGCGAGTACGGTAATTTCTAGCATATTTTACACAATATCTCTTTGAGAAAAAAAGATTCTAAAGTTTATTATTCTTTAAACAGTCACCGTGTGTCTATTATAATGTGACATAATAAGTTTTTATATTTTCTTATTATCGCAACCAGATATTAATTTTTAGTGTAGCGCTTGATTATAAAATTATAATATATTACTATATATTATATATTAACTCTCTAAGTCAGCTCAAGAGAGAGAATTAAAAACTGATTTTATGTTATCGCGTTAGTGTAACAATCGTAACGCTGATAAAAATTACAAGCTAGATCCTCTTTTTGCGCATCGCTGTTTTTATGGTAAAATCGACGCTTTTCTTTTTCTCCGCGTTGCAAAGGATCTTGAATAATGCTGTAATCGATAGAGCTCGACGCGGTAATACAAAAAGGACGTTACAATCTGTTCCCTTTAGTGCCGTTGGCGAGGCAGCCGAGAACCCAACCGCCACCGCGACCGCATAGCGCAGACTTTCTGGAGTACGAAGCGGCAAGGCGACCTCAGCAACCTGCGCAGTGCGAAAGACCGCCGGATCAGCAGAGACGTCCACAGAGGCCCAAGTCCAGCCTAGATATAATGAATCCGTCAGATGCGACCAACGACGGTTACTTTTATTCCGAGGAAAGGTACATATGTTGGACGAATAATTTTTAAGGCAAAAAAAAAGAAAATGTATGAGAATATATATAATTTTGTATCGCGCACATTTGTGTTACCCAGATACGCGGCGCAGATGCGGCAGTCTGCGGTTTATTTGCATCAAACGCCGCAGCATTATCAGCAACAGCGGAATCAATCTCTCTCGCGCGTCACAATGCAGCCAAAACTGCCGGGTATCCGCGACAAGACCGACGAGAGTAGAATATCCATTATACCGGATTCAACCTGCCCGGCTCTGAGACGTACGCAGCGAGATCACGTTCATGGGCAACACACGATGCCCGCTCAACCGCTGACGCAGAGACATTCCGAGTGAGTCATGCAGTACATTATCCGAATAAATAATTAAACCGCACGTAGATCCTGTTTGAGATATTTTCATACATTGTCATCTATTTCCAATTCTTCTCTTTCTTGTTTAAGATAATTTAAGAAATCTTAAAATATCGTTACTAATAATATAGCCTTTTTATGATTTTATTTTAAAAGCTGACGCGTTCTAAAATGAGATAAAATTTACATTTACATATATAAATTATATATCAACGGATTTTTAAAACTCAACTTTCCATATTTAATCTTAATATGCTAATATATTAAAATTGATCGTAACAAGATTAAATATGTTACGTTTCTTAAAAATAAACTGAAAAATTGAAAAATGATTTCTGATTATTGGAATAGCTAATATATTAAAATTGATCGTAACAAGATTAAATATGTTACGTTTCTTAAAAATAAACTGAAAAATTGGAAAATGATTTCTGATTATTGGAATTATTTTTACAAAAGGATATAATTTCTTTTGTAAAGCATACAAAAATATATTGATTTTTTATCTCAAATCTTAATTATCAGGATAATGGGCACCGACCCAAAATTCCGAAGATCCTTGCGCGAGAAGAGCTACGAGGCGAATAGCCACGAAATGCTAGCGCATGGTGGTGAGGACAACACGATTCCTCGAAGAGTACCGCGTGGCGAGTACGACGGGTGGGGGCGAACGACGGGTCACAGTGTCCACGGAACCCACATCGCTCAGACGTATCACGCCGGTCACGCAGGTGGTGGCAGACGATGGAGCGAGCAGCAGCAGTTCTGCAGATCGGCGTCGGCGCGTTTGCCAAGGACACGGCATCCCGCCGCGCTTGATCCCAACGACGACGACTACGCCGAGAGGTCCTCCGAGCAGGATTCGCGAGATGGTGAACGCAAGATTCAGCAGGTAAGAGGAAGAAATTTAACCTTCTTTATATATCTTTGCGTGAATCTTCCTTTTCAAGATATGAGAATCTCGTATAATTTCGTATAATTTTCGCATAGTATCTTTACAATGTGTCATTAGAATGTTGAATATTGTATTTTGAATATATCGTGTTAAATATATTAATTTTTAATCTTTACTCTATAAGAGATCTATTTGGCAGATCCGTATGCTTTTTAAAAAAATTCAATCTATAGAGTTAAATTGGGGCAGATCTATGTATATATCTTATAATTTAATTGATGGGTTCTATCTCTACAAACAAATAATCGTTAAAATTAAATCTGATTTTCAAATAAATTTTACATAAAAAGCTATTTTACAAGATAACGTTGTAAATAAATGAATTTATTTGGCTATTTATGATGCAAATCAATAATGTTAACGTTAAAATAAGTTTTACGACATATGAATATGTTGTCATTTATTTCAAATTTGTTTGTTTCGTTTGCATCTCGGAAAATTTAGGATGAGTCATAAAACTAGCTGTTTTTTTAAAGCAGGTAGCTGTAGATCATCAGCATTGCTCGTACAAGACCACCATGTCGATAACATCGGTGGACGAGCATGATTCACGCGATAGTTCTGTTGCATACCTACAGCTTACCACCTTACGTCATCTCGACTCTTCGTGTCTTTGCTTTCACCACCGTTTTCACTCCATCATTATTATTGTCATTACATTACTTAAATCATATTAATAATTTTCTATATTTTTTTACAACTTGTATCATTCTCGTAATTTTACAATCGTTTATTGTTAAAATTGATGTCAATCATTGCAAGTCATTTTCTTCTCTTTCGATTAGATTCTCTCCTATCCATATATTATAATGCAATTATTTGGAAAAAACAACATAAAATAATTTAAATTTATATCTTTTTAAAGAAGAAAAGGAGTAACAACAATAATTTATATGACTAATAATGATTAATATTTTAATCTTTCGTAAATTGAAATATATATTTTAAATTTTAATTTACATTCATAAAAGAGGAGAATCTCAAATATGTAAAATGTATAAAGTTTTAAATGTAAATTCTCTCAGTATTCATAAACGTGAACCGTTATCTCTTTATTTCATACATCAAAGGAAACCTGAGAAAATATATTTTGTGTGATACTAAAATAATATATTTAATATGGCTTTTAAAATAAAATAAAGAGATCGTATGAATAAATAAATAAATAAATCTATCTCTAAACACAATTTTCCTACATAAAGTTTCATTTTTTAATAATAAAAATAATATATCATAAGTAAAAATTGTCATGCAATTTCCACAATGAATCGTTAAAGATAAAAATATATCGTTACGTAATCATCATAATAAAAATATAATCCTGCCACAGTTATAAGCGTTTTTGAGAGCCCAACTCTTTCGCAATGTTTCTAGATTATAAAAACGTCAAAATCTCCCGAAATGTTCCTAAACTTGCATATATTCGTTAGACAGCTAATAAAGGGTTGTACGTTTTACAGCGCGAAGAATCGATGAAGCGGTTGCTGGAATGGAAGCAGCGTATGCTGCAATCCCCGTTGACGCGAAAGCCATCCGGTTCGGCCAATCGGGGCAGGGCACAAAATGATCTTTCGAGTTACTACAAGCAACAGGCGCTGCTGGATTTGGCAGCGCACGAGGCCGCCGTAGCAGAGGGTCGTCACTCTCGTAGACGGGAGGATGGGCATCGTCCGCACGTCAGGAGCAAGAGTTCGGATGGTCGTCGGGCTGCTGTCAACGTGCCACGCTATAACAGCTACTCCAGCGATGACGAAGGTAGGGACAGCTCGCCTGAACTTATCATCTAAGTGGTAGTTTCGTCGCTCCGCGTAACCGAGGGACCCGGTCGTGCGAGATGTAAAGAAAATTGCATGGACAATTAAATCCTTTAAGCGTGCATATGGAGCATGTGTTCGAAATGAAGTATATTTGACAAAATTATTAATATCTCGATAAAAGTGGTCTCTTGTATTCTTGCCTTAAAAAAAAAACTTGGTAAACTTTTAAATAGTTTTCACAATACGAGTCCCTCGAAAACGCTCTGTACGATCAATACGAATAAAAGTAGATAGTTGTCTAGTATACTAAAAAATAATCCAGATTCTAACACAATCATATGTAATTGCTAACATGGTGAAAAATCTAATATGTCCATATATGACGGCTCACGGAAAATGAGGCATTTCACGAGAACGCATGTCAAGAATTTTGTTTTTTGTCATTGGCGCTCGTGTTGTACGTAATAATTGAAATATCTCAAGCGCTATGTCGGTCGATTCTATGTCGTGTCTTTTTTTGTAGCAAATAAATTACATAGCATGTTTCTATTTCTTAATCAATGGCATGTAGAGATGTCATAATTCAACAAAAATATTTACCCGACTATGCGTATACCGCAATTAATGCGAGGCATCTGAATTTCGCGAATTGCGAAAGTTGCAAAAATCAAAGTTGTATTTTTCCTTTTATTTTTGTTCGACATTAATGCATAATCGTCGAAGAAATGTAGAAGAGTTCAACGAAATGCGGAGTAAGGATAAAATGAGAGGAAATTTCAAAAAAATGAATAAATAAAATATGCGTATCTGCGAGCGTTTCTCCGCGGGGCTCCTTCTATCTGCTGCTGTTGGGTCTAGATTGACTGGTGAATGGGAAACGATTAACAATCTTAAAACTTTTTAACTGTCCAAATGAGCGAATATTAATATCCCTTGCGATTTAACACCGATCGTAATTAGATTACCGTAGAAAATATGAATCAGCATGGCATGCAAAAGAATTTCACTAACACTATTTGCCGTAGCTACGCAATTACGATCGCATCTACGTTCCAGCTCGCGTGTTCGCTACTTACGATTAACCGCAAAATCAATCAGTCGATTATCGAGATCATTGCACGCATCAAAATATTCTTATCCTTAATACATTTATTTATTTGAAAAATTCCATCGATTTAACAGCTTTAAAATTCGATCCTAAATTTCCGAGATGTGAAACTTTTTTACAAATTAATCAATATCAAATATGTATATATATATAATAATAAAAAAAAGAAATATATAAAAATACATGTCAAAAGATATATTCTCTCTATTTTTATATACACATAATTTTTCAAAAGATATTCTAATTTTATTAATTAAAATAATGAATAATTAAAATATATATTAACGGTACATTTTTGCTGATTAATGCAATGATCTTCGATGTCCTTATCGCGCTTGGCGAGCTGGCTTAGATCTGTATAATGGGTATAGAAAAGGGAATGTATAAATTAAAAAAAAAAAGATATCTCTTTTTTCTCATATACATTCGTAAGTAACGAACGTTACTCGTGTCTTTGTGTTTTGTAATGAACGAATTAGAGCTGGGAGATGTCCGGAGGAAGCGCACGCGCAGACCCCCGCATGCAGGAAGGAGCCCCCGGCACGACCGGTCATCGGCGATGACGTCGACCGTCCAGGATGTCACGATATCCTCCGGCGGCCGCACGAGCGTTAATCAGACGTCTCAGTTGCAAGCGTTTAACACTCGCAAGACGAATTCGAGTGGAAGCGCGGGCGGCATACCGCCGGACGCGGGTTACGATGAGGTGAGCTTCCCGCCGCTGATGAGAAACGATTACGCGTATGCGCCGTCGACGATGGATAAGCGGTCGTCCCCCAGAAGATCGGATCCGGAGACCACGTATGAGAATTCTGCGGTCAAGCACAAGAGTTCGAAAAAGCCATTGGGAATCCTGAAAACGTCGACCGCTTACAGCTACGACCAGCGACAATTCGATGGACAACAAGCCGTCAGCAAGATCGAGATTAACAAATCGGATAATATGCGCGGATATCGCAGCAGCGAGTCCTGGCACGAACGGAAGAACGTACAGTGGGACGCCAAGGACGATATCGACGAATGGGATCCCGGTATCGACGAGAGTAAAGTTATCAAAGAATTCTCTTATCAGTATATTAATCCTAAGAAAATCGCGACGTCACCAAAGGTGGAGGATGAAAAGTCCGAGATCATGAATCTAGTGCAATGCCGAATCAGGTCCTTCGAAATGAACATGGACAACGCCAGTCCCGCCACAATGATGTTGTCTATGCAGGAGCCGTTGAAGGTGTCGCCGCTGCAGGCAACCGAAGCTCACGTTTCGAAACTCGATTGCGCGAACAAGACCTCGTCCGTCATACGTAACTTCGCTTTGGGTGATTCGAGCGTTTCGGAGAACGTTTCCAAGCACAAGAGCGTAGAAGAGGGACACGCTAAGCAAGCCTCGACTGACAGTAACAAGTCGGTCAAAGATCTCCTAGCGGATTTTGAACGAAAGTCACAACAGACTAATCGGCAAAAGTGTGAGAAGCGGCGAGAATCAAAACATTGCGAAGATCATGATACGTTACGGTATAATATTGGCAATAATGCGGAACGTCGAAACGATGGAAAATTTATCGAAAAGGAAAACAACGAACAAGCAGACGAAGCCGTTGCGCAATGTTTCGATGCAGACATCCTCTATACCAGTATGCAAATGCAAAATTTTGATGAATCTCAGAGCAAGATGACCAGCTCGAAGGACAGTCTGACTGAACAATGTGTGCCATCCGATGATTTAGACATTATCTCAAGTTCCAATTGTGCCAGAACAAGTATGACCGAATCTCTGTTAACGCATGACGATCAATTCCCCGATGATATCGACCCGATCATTGCTATTTCGAAGCAGGACGACATTAACAATGAGGATCATTATCTTCCTATGTCTCCCAGAAAGGCTATTCTAGATCCGAATAGCGACGACAGGCCGAATCCCAAGATAATGGAAAGCCTATTTGCCAACCTAGAACACGAGGAGAGCTCGTACGTGGAGATGACGCAGAACGGGATGAATCGTTCTCTTTTGGCACCAAATGAGGATAGCGTAAAGCACGATTCTGGTGATTATTCCACGCTAGACACATCTCATTATGAATTTGTCTGCGTGTCGGACAACAAGATGGAACCGGTATATATGGAGGTAAGTCAGTTATCCGAGAAAGAAGAGGAAAATAATGATAAAACATCCTCGACAAAGAAGAATGAGACGTCGTTTCATTCCAGAAGCGATTTGCCCGATATTTTGACGGCGCTTAAATCCGACAGTTCAGACGCCGACGACGAATCATCCAAGGATCTCGATTCTATAGACGCACCGCGGCATCCGCGTTTCAGTTTGTCCGACACCTTTCGACCAGCTTCCTACTACTTGGGAGCCAGTCGCAATATGATTGCGGAATTACATGATTCATCGGACAGTGAATTGGTTTCTCCGCCGCCGATACCAACCTCACCGCCGCCGTTAGACGATTTAGATTCTCTAGATATGCAGGAGTCAGAAATGAAGAAAATGTCGCCTCAGGTGGTGACGACGAAAGACAATTCGTTGAACCGCGATTCTCCAAAGTCTTGGAACAAAGCGATGGGTCAAGTGGAGACGCACAGACCGCCGTCAAGATTTTCCGACGCAACCATCAGCTCCACTTTCAGAGACAGCAGAATATCACTGGAGAGTGCATCCGGAAGTGATTCAGTCGAACTTAGAAATCCAGAGGAGGAAGCGCGTCACAGACAACTGAAAAGAAGACCCGTCAGCGATGATGTTTGCGAGGTTTTGGACAGTCTAGACGAGTTGGAGTCGTTGGGAAGTCGTTTTGACGGCACGAGCTTCGACCTCGATCAATACTTGGAGGTATTACAGGCTCGAGATGCGTTCAACGTGGATCTCTACGCGAAGGATCTGAGCTACAACAGCATTTACGGGTTTAACGAGAACATGCTGGTGGTCGATAAACTGCAAAAGACTACGTGTCAAGATCTGTCGAGAAAGATGAAATTAATGTCCAGCAATCTCGACCGGCCATTCGATTATTCCGGTAAAAACAAGACCGGTTCAGCGAGTAGTTTACCGTCCATGAGGGTATCCGATCTACCGCCTGCTCATCAGCATTCGCAGTCTTTCACTTGCGACGCGCATTACGAGAACGTTGCGAGTTTCTCGCCGCTTCGCGGCTCGCCGGCAGTCCGACCCGACAGCGACGAACTGCCATCGCGCGACAGGATGCAGAGCGCGTCGCAGAGCATTAACGCGCTGCCAGTTTCTCACAGCAGGGACTCGAGTTACTCGAACGCGTCGGTTGCGGCGTCGATCTCTGCGTCCATGGTTTGCCAAAGGCCCGCCAGCGCGCAATCCTCGATGCACTCCGCCGTCAACGCGTTCGCGTCTTCGGTGAATCGCGCCAGCGCGTACACGGAACGGAGGTTCTCGTGTCACTCGAGGTCCGCCAGTCACGACACGTGCGTGCGACACGTGCTGCCGAATCATCGATTGACCTCCAGCCAGGACTCGAGTCATTATCCCAGCCCGATGCCGCAAGCTGCTAATCCCGTTTTGCAACAGTCGTATTTGCCGAACGTGGGCGAACAGCGTACTCAGAGCGATCAATCGGGAGCGCCGTATTACTATTCCGATCTTCAAGCCAATGTCAACAGCGCGAGCGACATGGAGCTCGCCAAGCCAACGATCGGTCATACCTCGCGATTACCTCAACTCAACAATCAGAGGGACGACGCTGCCGTTGCTTTGAACAAGCGTAACGACATCGGTCGTATAGTGAATCCGATCGCGCGACAGATGCCGCGGCAGATTCAAGTAGACGATATAGACGAGGCCAGACGCATCGCCGCGGAGCTGAGACGTACAACTTGCCAATTGTTGGGCGACAACAAGGCCGCCCTCGTGGACAAACGTAACTTTTACGAGGCCGATACGCTACGTCGAGTAAAGTCTACCGATCCGCTGCCAGACGTATCGCTGCCCGAAGCCAGAAACTTGTATCCCCACGGTCTTAGAGATAAATCTGTTGATCCGGGCAGCATCGATAACACCGAAGCGACGCACGTCGCGCAAACGTCTCATCGCCGGTCGAGATCTCTAGAGGGATTACTCGACGACGTCGGTCTGCAAAATTTAGTGGAGCAACGAAACCGAGCTAACCGAGCGGCGGCGACGGCGGTTTCAGCGGCCTCGACCAGCCAGATCGAAGCGACGCTGCAGAATCTGCCGTCATCCGACGATCATGGCACTACGACCGACGATAATTTCCATACCGAGGATCCCTGGGAGCAGGACAGTCTCTGGCGCGAGAGCCTAAGAAGAGTGAGCCTGCGGAATGCCAGATCCTTGGATAATCTGGACAGTCCGCCGAGACCTGGAGGGCACGGTGACATTAAATCACGTAGTAAGGTCACCCGAGGGGCGACTTACGTGAACGACAGCGTCAGTCTACGCAGGGAAGAATCGTCGGGTGGCGAGCAGCCGCGAGTCAAACGTAGAGTGAAACAGGATCAAGGGCGAGAACGATCGATCGAGAGTAATGATATCGTCGATGTCGTCGACGACGACGACGACGTCGTCGCTTATGAAGCCTCGATGGAACGAGTAGGCGCGGGCGGCTACGTGTGGGATCCGCAGAACGAGGCCTACCGCAAGTCCACCGCAGTGTCGGATCGCAGGAATCATTTTTTAGAGGACGGCAACCTTCCCCCGGCTCGCTCGAACCCGGACGTCCGAATGTCCGCGACGTCGTTCGAGCTCGACCGAGAGAAGCTCCGCCAATGGGACCTGTTATCGAGCGCCTGCTTACTCCAGGAGCAGCAGCGCACCTCGATGGCGGATTCGGGGCGAGGGTTGCCGATCGCGGGACAATCTGGAGAAGCTCCCGATTCCAGACTCGTCGTCGTTACGGCGACAATGACGACGACGACGACAACGACAACGGCGACGACGACGACGATGACGATGACGATGACGATGACGATGACGATGACGACAACGATGACGCCGACGACGACGACGATGATGACGACGATCCCGACGATGGAGATCGACAACGGGCAGGTAGACGTTATCGTAAAGCCGATCGATACCGCGGCGGTATGCGACGTTTTGGCGACGAAGATGCCGATCAAGCGGCAGGAACCGTGTAAACGGGCTGCAGGTGAGTGGCTCCTCAACCATGCTGGGGTGTACAGGCAGTGACCGTACGAGGTCGTGTTCCAAATCGCCGCACGACCGGCCGGCCCTCTCGTCCCGACCACGGATCTTGTGCGATAGATGTTTAATCCTAAATAGTGGAGAGAAGCTGTAAGGAATACGCTTCCACATGTATATTTTTTCAGCCTATATCTTATAAGTGTAATAGAAATTTGTTGTAATTTATCTTTCCCGTGTAATCTTAATTTTCGTATTTTTTTTCTTTTTTTTATAAAACATCTGTCATCCTTCTTAATTTATTGTTAGTGATTCAAGCAATCGATAGCTCTTTACAAAAAAGAATTTATTTGTGCAGGCAATTAAATTTTCACTGTTTGAAACTTTTTTCATTCGTTCGATTGTTTAAAAATAAAAAATTGTAATGATTTTGCCAGAGCTCTTTAGGATTAAACACAATGTTCTCGCTACCAAATGTACCTGCGTTTGCGGACACAGCGATGCAAGCCGCTTCTTTGTAATTGTGGACCAGGCCGTGTGTGTAACCTATAGTTTATATTTATTCACGATTTCTCTTCAATTTATTGAACCTGAGAATTGATTTGAATGACGCAAATATCATTTTGGACGACGCGAATAAAGTTTTATAATTGATGCGAATTGGAACACGGCCTGGTGCGTGTACGAGTGAATGCGTTTCCGAGATAAAAATATAGAATGATTCGTCGTAATTTGCTGCAATTATTAGTCATGGTTGATAACGCAAACATCTGGTTCTCATTGTATAATAAAATAGATAAATGACAATGAGATCGTAAATTTTGTGCTGTTACGAAATTATGGCGAAAACCGCGAGTAATTATGCAACCGCGTGTATGTACGTGTGTACGTATGAGTGCATGTATATTCTTAAAATATTTATCACCTAAGACTTACATCATACAATCGCCGAAAATATTGATGTAATCCAAGACGATTATGTTTTCTATTTAATTCTTTTTTTCGTTTACTTATTTCTTAAGTCATGCCAGTTAATTGATTCGTAATGTAAGTACAAGTCATGATTATTATTATTATTATTATTATTATAAGGATAACATTTCTTTGTCGAAAGTGCTAGACAGCCTTTATAATCTTTCGATTGATTCCTACATGATTTTGCAGGATCTCACTTTCACGCATAATCTGCGTGATATCAATGTTGAATTATTTAGGCTTTTAGGTTGATATCGATAAAATTATTATACGTCATTATTATACGTAATATCGTTTAATTCGGCAGTCTAGGCGATTTGCTAGAATTTATTGTCGCCAATATGCAATACAGAGTTCTAAATAGCTCTTTCAAGTCTCTCTTATAAAATATCTCTTACGATCGAGCGAAAGATTATATAATAAATAAAGTTGTTTTTAAGAAATACAGCGACTGCCATTAACAACGACATTATTAATAACCTAAAGAAATTTATGCAATTAACTAAGAAATTCTGTCGTACTACTTTAAGCATTTATTAAGATTATATGTACATATATATAACTCCGTGTTATACATATAAATTGTACAAAAAGATGCGACTGAAAATAAATGAAACGAAAAATGGATAATGATATATCCAAGACGTTATCTTTAGCAATCCTAAATACTTAAATTCATTTCTGATGAGCAGATGATAGCGAGAATCAAATTGATCAAATGGTAAAAATATATCTGACAAACAGATCATAAAATTAGTGTTTAAGTAAAAGCTAAGAATACCAAGAGAGAGACATACATTTTTTCCATTCATTAAAAAATATTCTTCTTTCTTAAAAAGAGAGAGGAAGATTACAATTTTATTTCTCGATTCGTGAAATTTATGAAAAAAAACATGAAATATATAAAATTCATGTGACTGTAGCATGATTAATTATCCGTTATTATTATTCCCTGCGGAAAAATTGTGGCGTAAAAAAGCCGATCGTTACTTACGCGATTAAACGTTTGATCGCGTACACCGACACGTCCGGAGATTAATCGAGGACGCTCTAATCGCCTTAATTAATTTTCTTCTCGGAAAACTTTGTCCGCTAAAATTAATTTTTCCTCCGAGAGGTAATGTTATCTTTCGGCTAAAAGGCTCACTCGAGTGACAGCTGGCCTGTCGAGGTGATCTTTATGTTCTCCAACCGTCATACCATTCGCGCGTCACCAGCTTTAATAGCGGAACAGCGCTTGTAGCCGACTCAGAAACAGCTTCCTCGACAATGGAACGACTTTGCACGGTCTATTGGCAGGTGGAAAGTCGTTGCAACGTCGCATAACGTTATTTGACGCAGCGAACGCATTATCGTAACTACGTCCGCGAAGAGCAATGACGCCATAAGTGCACCGTCGACATCGTCGTCGTCGTCGGCGACTTGTTCGTTGCACTTTATGTCGGGTTCAATAACATGGGCGAATGACGCGGCCTCTTGAAGTGGATAGGTTCTATAGAGCCGCGGGCGATATCCGCGGCTCGCCTGTTGGTTGCTACGATTCCTCGCGAATCGTTAAATATCAACGAGGGAGAAGGCGCGCTCGCGGACGGAACTCTTTTCTCTCGCGGTCCCTTGACTGTGCCGATCGATTACGTGCCTGCCATCGCGTGAGAAATTTTTTCGTCCTTCTTGTGTGTCGAACACGAGGGGATACTCCATAATTAAAGTCCGTCGGATCCCAGATTTCGTGGAATTAATAAGGAGCCGGAGAAAGAGAAAGAAAAGGGTTTTCGGCTGAAACCGCAAAGGAATTGATTCCTGACGGGATAATATCGGGTCGGAATCGAATATGCTACATGTATGTTTGATTCGTCTGATTGAGAAGGACAAAAGAAACTCGAACAAGATGTTACGGAGCTGTATATTTAATCTCAGATTATCTGAAGCTTTTCGATACCAAATATAATTGCGACAATTTAACGCAAACACGCGTCGATATATTTTTCATCGAGCATGAAAATCATCGATATAATTTTGATATAGATTTATAAAAAGATCTAATATTTCACAGAAAGCAAACATGTTGTAAGGCATTTTATCAGAATTTGTCATCAGTTTTATTTCCTTTTATTATCCCCGCAAAATGTGCTTGAGCGTATCACATTTATTTTTAATACTACTAAATATCATCGCATCGGGAAAAGTCAGAGACACGTGAAAATGAAATATTTTTACAATTAAACTACCCCAAAGCTTCTCTTGCCGGCGCAACGCGTCTGTGATTGACACTTTGGTAATGCGGTTTACCTCATCGATTGGCTGCCATTGACCTCGGTGAAAAATCAAACTTTTATTGTCCGTGTAAGCCGTAACGTGTTCAAGCGTGAGGGCTCATTTATCACATTTCAAGCTAGGAAAATCAACTATCTCGCGAAAAGAATGATCAATCATACAAAAACATAATTATAGAGAACGCTTCTTACATATGCAATATATATAATCGTCAAATTTTCGATAAGAAAGAAGTAATTTCATATCCACCACAAGTTATTCTTTATCGGAGAATTTTTCATTTAAGTCTTATGCAAAAGAAAAGTGTGTATTTAATTAAATTTAAATTAATTTTGTACTAATATATAAAATGATTGAAGTGAAAAATAAACATCGTAATTTTAAAAGGATAATAAAAATGAAGAAATAATTATATTAATAAAGATAGAGGGAAATGCTAGTGATGCAATTTCGTATTTAATTGCTCGTTGCAAGAGTCATCAAATGTGAAAGGGAGAATAATGATCTTGATTAAATAATCGCGCATCCAGCCAAATGAAATAAAACAACGCTATATCAAGTTACAACAGAGTGTCACACGTGACATTTAAAACATTTTATTTTTGACAGACTGTGCGATATGTCACACAGAGACGCGAAATAAAGCCGCGATAATCTATCTGTTATCGGAAACGTTTAATTAAAGGTACCAAGCTGGCCAAGTATGAAATCGAAATTGTGAGATTTAATGAAGCTTAAACGCATAACTTTGCTAAGATATCGAGGTATTTCGTTCATTCGATATCGGTATTTTTTCCAAGAACTTTATGAAATATATTGTTATATTATCAGAGTCTTATCGCTTCTCTACTGATTAAGAAATAAAGTTTCTGAAATTAACAAAAGTTAATAAACACAATTAATTTATTATATTACGCGGTGTTCTCACAAACATTCCTAATGACTTTATTCAATGTCGATGCTTATCAATTTCCAATTACCAATCTTTATTTATATCATTTCAGCTATCGATGTTTAATTATTAAAAAGCAATAACACAGTTTAGAAAATCATCGCTTCAATTAACATTAACTATGCAAAAATCCTCTTTCTAACATAAATAAAATCTTCTAAAAAGAAATGGCAAGAATAAAATTATATTAATTATATATAATTCAGAATCAAATTAAAAGCAAGGTTACCATTATAAAAATTGTACACATATTTCTTCATATTTGAAATTGTCTTTTACATTGGACTGTCAGATCATTGAAGCAACAGTTTCCGGTTGCGAGGACCTTTTAATCAGATTCAGAGAGAGAGAGAGAGACTGGTCAGACGGATAACCTGGGTATCTGGATTGTCCAGTCGGATGATAGCGGCCCGTGGATCAGTCAGTCAGTCAGTCAGTCGGTGGCGCTCCACGCGGTTCCACGCGACTCTCGTGTCTCGCGTGCCTCGTGAACGCGAACGCGTGTCAGTCCGCATCGATCGGTGCGCGGATCACGATCATATGGTTGCGTAGATCGTCGTTTATAGAGAGAGTACGCGCATAACAAGCGTATAATTACTTGATCGGTTAATCGAAATCGTCGCGAACTTTGTGTTAGCCGTTCACGCGTACGTATGTATTTTTGGCATTTTTACGCAAGGTAGACAAGTGCAAGTGACATATGTATTTGCGTGACGCGTGTGTAATTTAAGGCATGAACATTCGTGTTTGGATTTTAACGAGAATTCTCGCCGAGAGCTCCTCGCGAGGTTTCCCGGATATAAAAT